ATTCTTCAAGAATAAGAACAAAAAAAAATAATAAATAGGTAAATAAAATTCAAATAATCAAAACTCTCATTGATATTTATTAATTAAAAAATGAAACTTCAAATTATCTTTTTTGTTAGAAGTATAACAATGCTTGTTATAATAAAAATATCTAATTTAGATTTAGTGAATTCAAACAAAATTTTCAAGGATAGTTGCATTTTTATAATATTACATTGTCTGAATTGATAATTATTACAACAGTAATAGTGATAAAAAGAATAACCAAATGCAGGTGTGGATTAATATCTTATCATTTGCAATTTAATAATATGTTTTTATTTTTAAAAGATAAATAAGCTTGCAAGCATGCAATCCGAGTTTCCTAATTAATAGGTTATCTAATGTTCAACACACAGCCTACTCACTGACTTACAGTTGATTCTATTGTTTGACACACAGCCTACTCACTGACTTACAGTCAAGTTTCCTTTATTTATATATATATGACACACAGCCTACTTACTGACTTATGGTCAAAGATTACTTTTATCTTCCTGGATAAAAGGGTCCCTAGGTTCTATGTAAATAATTATATCCCAAAGGCGTCTCCTTTCCTATAAAAATTTTGCATACGGAAATTCCGTATGAATTATAATTTTTATTGATTATTATAAAAGATACGGAATTATTCCGGAAAAAATTGTAAAATATATTAATAATTCTTTTATTAGTAATAAATATCTTTATTCTTAACAAAAAATTGTTACGCAAATGGGATTTTTAATCAAAAAATTAAAAATTAACTACTTTTTTTACTAATCTAATATCATTTATTTATACTAAATCGTAACAACAATTTCTGGCATGATTTTACTCTCAAAACTATCTTTCACCTTCATTAAACAATTTCTTGTACTAAACAATATCTTTTTTAGATTTTAAATTACTGATCACGTTTCTTAGTGGGTGCTGTTGTTCCATACTCAAGTCAGGTGTGTTCCCAAACTACTAAATAAAATTCATTGAATATCACCTCACTAAAAGCAAAGAGAAGAAATAAAAAAAATGGACAAATATAAAATAAGAGAAAAAATGATTATGCATGAGATTTGGTATGGATTCATTGTTAGGGATAGATTTATTATCATTACAAAAATACAATATTCAAGTCAACAACAAGGACAAAGATAAGGATAATATTATTTATTATTCCTAATTAAATGTATTACTTGAACTTTCTGTGTACGTAGAACTATTTTCAAATTATTTCTAAAGTGATCCAATAATTTAAATTCTTTCGTTTGAATTTAATCTGAGAATTAAAGGTTTGTTACATCAGAATATTTGTTTCTCTGTTGTCTGAGATATTTTCCGTGATTCAAATTATTTTATTGGTGATTAAATAACAATATTAAAATCATTCAACTTTGCCGAAGGCCAGAAATTTTTCTTCAAATAGTAACTTTTATTTGAATAGAGACTTTAAAACAGTAAATAACAAGTAACACCAGTGACGAAGTCACTGTCATAAAGCATTCATCTAGTTTATTAGACTATTTCAAATGGTTGCTTCCAACTTCTTAAATTCGAACCATTTGTTAACGAAACAACTGTTTTATTTTTTCATACATCGCTCATGTTTTCTCTCGGTCGTATGTCTTAAATTGGTCGCGTTTACAATCATTTTGACATTCATTATATTAAGGTTATTTTGATTATATCGAGAGATATGGCCAAGAGAAGAGTTAGGAAGAGAGTTATTCTTCAACCAAGTCGAAAACCAACCCTTTAAATACATTTTCGAGTAGTACGGTTTAATTTATTAGACTATTTCAAATGGTTGCCTCCAACTTCTTAAATTCGAACCATTTATTAATGAAACAATTGTTCGTGAAGGGATTGTTGACAAAATGAATCAAACCCACATTAAATGTTTTATTTTTAAATTCACGATTTTAATTGGTCAATCAATCAATAATTGCGTGGGTTAAAACCAGAACGGTCTCTCCTGTAATAACGTTGTATACTAATAACGAACAATTATTTCATGTGGCCGAATGTAGAATGTTGAGTTCTGTGCGCTGAAATGGCCCGAGAGGAATTTCTCTACGAAAAAATAACAAAAAAAAAAGTTTGGACGGCTGTCCTATTTATATGTTTCGAATTTAATAAAATAGACTATTGTCTTGGCCCGAGTGATGTCATTTTTTTTTGCTCTTTGCGACGAAGAAGACGCAAAACCCAACTTAATTGAATTTTTATTCTCGCGTAGCACGGTATGTGTGTTTTGTGACACGAAAAGCAAAAGCTCGCATTGCGTTCTCAGTTATAAGCTTGTTTGTAAATTAAATTTGTTGTTTGCCTATATTTGTAAATAAACAGTGTTACGGGAAATAAGACGTTGTAGAAGAGTGATGATCATTATACATGAGCGAACGAACGAACAGATCGAACATATCGAACAGATCGAGTGAGCATTGAGCTGATAAAAAAATCAATTTTTACTAATTTTTTGGGAAGCATGAGATGAAAAAAATGAGACTTGATTAAAAATTTTTTTTTTTTACTCTTTGAAATGTATCGTTAATAATTATTTTATTTATTTTATTAACTAGAAAAGTATCAGCCAGATTGAAATTGAATAAAACCAGTACAACCAAGTCAATGCCAAAGTGAAAATAAGATTTTAAGTTTAGCATGAATTTATATCTTTGGATTGATTACAGGAATAAAATAAGTTTATTTTGTATCACTAAAATTTAGTCCTCTGGAATTTCTTGTCTCTATTTTTATTAAATAAATTAGAAATTGATAGAAGGAGTATATATATAAATTGTAGCTTTCATATTTATAATCTAAATTAATAATAATAGTATGTATAAAATCCGCTGTGGCAAGATTAGTATTAGTATTTAGTAATCTTGCCACAACGGATTTTAAATAAAATTTGTTTATGTGTACCGTTCATCCGCTGTGTCAAGGTTTGACTATATTGTGGAATTAACTACGTATATGATTGAAGATATTTAATACTACTATTAATTATTTTAAATTGATAATATAATTAACAAGAATGTAAAGATTTTATTATAAATAAATAGAAAACAAAATTTAGGAATTACGGCAATAATAATACTACTAATATTACTAACAATCATGCACCCAGAATAATGTAAGTATAATATGATAATCAGGGTTTTTCTGATAACGAAGTAGTATTACGATCTGATACGACCTTTAATTATAGTAATAGTAATAGTAATAGGGCTGACAGCATAATATTATTATAAAATAATATTTTATCACCATAGAAAATCATCGTACGTTCGTACAACGAAATTGCACAACACTGACTGTAATAATAACGTATATAATACTACTACATAATAACAAGGGATTTAAATAAGCATATATAACATGATAATCAGTTTTTCTCTGATAATGAAATAGTATTACGACCCCAGTTACAACATCTGGTAATCCATTAATTATATAATAGTGTTATCGGCTTAATAATAATATTATTATTATAGGATTTTACAAAGTAATATTTTGCCACCGCAGAAAATCATCGTTCCTGATACATCGTACATTTGTACGTACGTACGTACATATGTAAAATTTCCTCGTACAGGTGTACGACCACAACGAAACTGTACGAACTCAATGGTACGAAGTCAGTCGTACGTACGAAGATTCTTCTCGTACAGCGAAATTGCACAACACTGGAACACGTGTTACCAAATTTGGAAAGATTGTGTACAAGAAGTGTGGGTCAAATACCCTATATCAAACCGCGATTTTTATGTAACCCATTACTATCTATATTGATATAGTTTTCGGGTCGTATGTACGAGATTACACTTATCAGGACGGATCGTCGATTTTAATTTTTTGTCTTCATTAATTTTTTTTGTCAACAATCATTCCCAATTCTGTTTTAAAAAAATGCAATATTTTACTGCCTTGTTCTAAATAAAAAAAAGACAAATAAAACAAAATGAGAGTGTCTATGTACAAATATATATTAAGTTTTAAAGGGTAAAAAAGATTAAAATGATAATTAATAATGATAATTAATAATGATAATTAATGACAATGATAATGATAATGATAGTATGATTAGATATCTAGTATTTTTTTTTTATAATACAAAAAAATTACAAAAATTACAAAAAATTTTATCAAAAATTAACACCCATCTTCTATAAAAGAATATATATATAATGGTTAAGTTAAAAAAGTCTATTTTTTAAATATTATATATTATAATCATTATATTGTTGACGAGTTGTGTCGTTGATGATGTTTCGGCCTATTTATTGAATTTTCAAGTGGTGAATTATGTCTCGACAGTGAGTTTATCGATATAACGTCCTTTGACGTAATTGGCATATTATCATTATTATTGTCATCATTGTCGTTGTTGTATTTATTACTACTATTATTACTGTTACCAATAATGTCATTATCATTACTATTACTCCTATTATCATTGTTATTACTCGAAGTCAGTCGTACGTACGAAGATTCTTCTCGTACAGCGAAATTGCACAACACTGGAACACGTGTTACCAAATTTGGAAAGATTGTGTACAAGAAGTGTGGGTCAAATACCCTATATCAAACCGCGATTTTTATGTAACCCATTACTATCTATATTGATATAGTTTTCGGGTCGTATGTACGAGATTACACTTATCAGGACGGATCGTCGATTTTAATTTTTTGTCTTCATTAATTTTTTTTGTCAACAATCATTCCCAATTCTGTTTTAAAAAAATGCAATATTTTACTGCCTTGTTCTAAATAAAAAAAAGACAAATAAAACAAAATGAGAGTGTCTATGTACAAATATATATTAAGTTTTAAAGGGTAAAAAAGATTAAAATGATAATTAATAATGATAATTAATAATGATAATTAATGACAATGATAATGATAATGATAGTATGATTAGATATCTAGTATTTTTTTTTTATAATACAAAAAAATTACAAAAATTACAAAAAATTTTATCAAAAATTAACACCCATCTTCTATAAAAGAATATATATATAATGGTTAAGTTAAAAAAGTCTATTTTTTAAATATTATATATTATAATCATTATATTGTTGACGAGTTGTGTCGTTGATGATGTTTCGGCCTATTTATTGAATTTTCAAGTGGTGAATTATGTCTCGACAGTGAGTTTATCGATATAACGTCCTTTGACGTAATTGGCATATTATCATTATTATTGTCATCATTGTCGTTGTTGTATTTATTACTACTATTATTACTGTTACCAATAATGTCATTATCATTACTATTACTCCTATTATCATTGTTATTACTAGTATCATTACTAGTAATAGTAGTAGATTCAGTTATATTTGGTGTGTCCGATATGGATGAATTTACATTTGTATACCAAGCATCAGTATTCATAGGTGGAAAAGCAACAGAAGATGGTAAAGCAGCCATTCTAATAAAGGTAGATCTAGGCATTGACGTTCCTGATGAAGAAGCAATATAAGTATTACCACCCATGTATAATATTATATCTCTTATCGTACCATCGAATTCAGGTATAGGGACATGCGGTAGTGAGTATATTGAAGGCGCTGATGGAGTATAAGCAGGTGGTGCACAAGAAATGGTAGGATATCCGAGATTTGATGTTTCTTCAATTAGTATTTCATCATCCAACGTTATCTCATCACTTTCTAATTTATCTACAGATGGTGCAGAGGGTTCTACATTATTGGATAACGATCGCGGGGTGTGGATTTGTATTGCCTGTAAATAATTGATATTATTTTTTTCATTCATCTTTTTCTGAGATAAGCTTATAATATCACCATTTGAAATATTGTCATCATCATCATTATTATTACTATTGTTATTGTTATTACTATTATTACTATTGTTACTATTGTTATTACAACTGCTACTACTACTATCGCTATTATTATTATTATTATTATTATTATTATTATTATTATTATTATTATTA